TACCATGTTGATTTTTGCTGGCTTATAGTCAAATTTAACGGTTCAATAAACAAAATTTTGACAGTAAACTGCAAAAGTGCAAGAAATTCTTTATCCCGGACGAGCCCCCAATTCAAATCCCGGGTTCAAATCCCGGACGAGCCCCCAATTCTGTTATGGGTCAGAATAACCCTAAATGCCAGCAAAGATCAATCACACAGTTTAAACTTAACAATAATTTATTTACAGTAATATACAAATCATTAAGTACAAACTTAGCAAAAATCTAAAAATACATACATCAGAGTGTCCGTTGCTGCACACAATGTCCCAGTGAAATTATATCCCAGTAATACCTCAATGATGCTTATACGACAATATCTCTATGCATCGAATTGACAGGGTATTTATACAGTATTATAAATCTAGAATATTCTAGAAGTTGTAAGTACATGATATTACTGGAAAGTTCTGGACATACACAAAGTTCAGGAATGTTCTAGAAACAATGACCGAACATGTTGACCACTCTGGAATGTTCAAGAACCTTAATGTTACTAATAATAGACATGATGAAACAATACACACCTCACAACAATAAGAAATGAAATACTTCTCCCAGAGTAAGATTTCTTTCAGTTTTTTAATGCTAGTAGATGTGTTTGTATATAAACAGTTTTTTTGGTCTTAAGTTATTCTAGGCATCTTTTGAAAGGTCTATATGCCATTTAAGGTAAGAAATTTTAAAATTGGTGTCCAAATAAATTATTTTTCTAGACAAATTCTATCGTCTTACTTACTACCCATTCACTCAATCTGGGACCTTGGTATCAGAGACTAAATAAAATCCTATATTAAACCCTTTTATTAACATAAAGGCCTTTATCATTATTTTAAAATATCTAAGATCAACATATCAAGACATAAAAAATGAATTACATTCTATTTTAATTCCTCTGATATCTTGATTGTTTTAACGTTTATTGATAATATTTGTGCACATCCACTGCAGATGAAAAATTTTAATAAATATGCACTAATTGAAATTTCTTGTAGAGTACGTCTGTAGAAAAAAAAAATAAATTCTTTCAATAATCTACATTTTTATTTTCTTTGTGTCAAGGCATTTTAAGAATTTTTTTACACATCAGTTCTATCATAATCTAAAGGTCAAATGAGAATTCCAGTGGAGAATTATAGAGGTTATACTGTCAGTTTTGGTAAAGAAAATATTTGAAATCTCACCTCAGGGAGACTTACAGCACTGTGTTGAAGTGAATATACTTTGATAAAATGTCATTGTATATTAACCTGCTATTAGATTTATAATAAGCGAAATTTTTTTTTAAAGGAATGCTGGTAGTACAATTCTTGTGATTTTAACTTTAAATCTAATACTGCAGGATATATTCCCTGGTGTAGCTATATAACAAGAAAGGTACCGTAAATCTGGAAATTTTTAAGTCGATTTTATTTTGCGAATCTGGTTCAAAAAGCTGTTGATAAATTTTTACGTTTCAAAATTTTCCGAATGATAACTGCTGTGCTTACATGTTTTATCAATGTGATTTAATTTTAAAGAAAAATATTTTTGCGAATGTAATGAACTCGCAAATTTGCTGAAAATTAATCTGCAACAAAAATTTCCAGATTTACGGTATATGTATAGCTTAACAAAATGAATGTCAAATTCAAATCTTGTTATTTTGAATTCTCTTTGCTTTTTGTGAATAATTAGGCTAACCTAGAACAGTTAAACACTCTTTGTTATCACAATTAATTTTAGAATATTGGAGCTATTTAACAGGAATGATAATATTACGAGTAATGGATTTAGGTGATACAGAAGTCATTAGCCTTAGTAAAGGTACAATATCATTGTCAACAGAAAAAAAATATCCTAAAAGGAAACAAGCACGAGACAAGTAGCGTCAGAAATGGGTGATACATAATGATACAGAGTCAATCACGGAATCCGTTGGTACAAAGGCCCGCAATACGGCGACAATAAATCAAATTATTAAAGCGATAGTGGGGCAGAGAGAACCAAAGCGAAAATGATTAATACATAATTTATTAATACAATAAAAAAATACACTTTTTCACGTACGGTATCATACAACTATAGTGGAAATACTTGTCATCAGAAAAAAATATTTTTTTTATCTATTCAAATGTATGGAAACTCTCTTGATAAAAGAGTATATATAAATTGCTCATATAATACTTAACTTGGGAGCATTTTTTCACGGGATTAAACTACAAAGGTGATAAACTTTAAAATGTTAGGGAATTTGTGAGTCTTGAACACCAAAATCTTGTTTAATTCAAATATTAATTTTACATTTGTTAATAAATCATTCATTTTAAAATGCAGTCCAATGTATGTATATCTTGTTGGCACTTAATTGAAATACGGATACCCATTTCGTATGAAGCAAATTACACCATGTGTGAAAAACAAGATTCTCGGCAGCTAGCCTTAACATTGATTGTTCTTGAAAACACAGATAGTGCAACTTTTAGCCATTTTTTATTTGCAGTTATTAATTAAACTGAGTGGTCACGCTATGGTTTGCTTGGATCGAAGACCTTCATCTGTTGGGGACTGTAATTACCCTGTCCCGAGACAATTGGTGTTTCATCTTCCACCAGAAGTACCGTCGCTATATTGCCCTGGCAGATAGTTGTCTCCCTTTAATTTAAACTTAAACTGTTTATTTCATCTTTCAGAAGATGACAGATAACTTTGATGTAAGGGAACACTGCCGCTTTTACTAAGAAACATCAATATAAATTGGTATTTAAAAAAACGCACGATAAGTTATCGACTCCGATAAACAATTGTCAAGACTAGTAATAAACCTCCCGTAATCACACTGTTTTGTACTGGGGAAAAGAAAACAATGCACTTGATTTGCATAATTTAACCTAAGCATATTAATAATCGGAGGATAACCCAGTTTTTGCTATTATCTGAACAATTGTTTTTCACAGAAAATCAAAACTAAAAGATATTATAATTTTCCAATCATGTCAGGAAATGAGCCTTTAAACTTTTTAAAAACCAAGCCCGACTTGACGATTTTGTGTTAGAGAATTTTATCGCCAAGAGAAATTACATTTAGACTTTATTGGTGTATATTTCAAGTACATTCGTCCTATTATTTTTTTTTTTATACTTTTTGTCTACAAATTAATGCAAACAAATTTAATAATTTTTAAAACTGATATAACAAAAATATGTTTGCGTGAGTTGGTTAATATCACGTATAAACTATTTTCTCCCGAGATTGTTCAGGCATATGTTCTTTATTGAAACCGAATAAAAATTTACACGAGTTTACAAAATCAGTAGCATCAAAACGTACGACTTTCGATACTTTATAAACCAGATATTTTTACATTTTAAGCAACTCCTTTTTTCAAAAAAAAAAAAAAAAAAAAAAAAGAAAAAAAAAGAAAAAGAAAGGAACTCATATGAAATTAAAGTAAAAAAGATGCTCGAGTTTCTGATTGAAAATATCTATGAAAATATTTATATTTTGAAATCAAAAAATTTTACCAAAATCAACAGCTTAAAATTTACGACTTTTCAACTTTATATACAACCATTCCCCACGATAGATTAAAGTCCATGCTTTTTGATATCATTGACAGCTCCTTTTTCAATAAAAATGGAACTCGTAAATCTACTTACCTCGTCATTAGTCATTCGCAAAATTATTTTGTTATAACACATTCTGATTGCACATACAAGTACTCTGAAGTTGACATCAAAAGGATGCTTGCGTTTCTAATTGACAATATCTATGTGGTTTTTGAATACCAGGTCTTCCAACAATCTATTGGAATTCTCATGGGTACCAATTGCACTCCATTATTAGCAGACTTATTTTTGTATTTATATGAAGCAGAATTTGTGCAAAATCTTATTCGTGAAAAGACGAAAACACTTACTGTGGCTTTCAACTCGACATTTAGATATATCGACGACGTATTGTCAATTAACAATGGTAATTTACATTCCTGTGTCAATACAATATATCCTGGTGAGCTTGAGATAAAAGATACCACAGAGTCTGACACATCTATTTCATACTTGGATACTTTACTTGAAAAGACAATATGGTAATCTACCAACCAAGCTCTACGATAAACGTGATGACTTTAACTTTTCTGTCGTCAACTTCCCTTACCTATGCAGCAATATACATGCATCTTCATCACCTACATACGGAGTTTACATATCTCAGTTGATTCGATACGCTAGAGCATGCTCTACGTATGAACAATTTCTAAAACGAGGTAAATTATTGACAAATTGATGAAACAAGAATTTCAGCAGTCTCGTTTTAAGTCACCATTTCGTAAGTTCTATGGTCGATACCATGACCTTGTCAGCAAATACAATTTATCATTGAGTCAAATGCTGGCTGACGTTTTTCATACTAATTGTTAGTCCATTATTTATACACTGTATTGACGACGGATTTTCCCGTTATTTCCCGATCATGACAAGGAGCACACGGCGGGTGTGAACGGTCGGCTCCTCCATGGCGCCTGATCCCACCTCTTATGTTTTGGAGGTTCGTGTTTGCTCTGCTCCTAAGCAATATACACACCTTCTGCTCGAAATTAAAAAAAAATAACACAGAGTCTGGCATCGTGTTTGTTTCTTATTTGAATATCTTACTAGAGAAAGACATTTATGACAATTTTAACAATTATAAATTATGAGAAATCTTATGAAGGTTACTTTTCTTTTATCGACTTCCCTTCTGCATGTAACAGTATACCATTATCATCTGGGTTTTTTTGGAGGTTATATGCCTCCCAATTGATAAGATCCAAAATAACATGTTCTGCGTATGTCTTTAAGACATGAGTAACTTTAAAGTATTGAATAAGAATCTTAAAATCATATTGAAAGTCATTTGGGGGATACAGAATTCTCTGAATTCTGGTTGACAATGATTCTTTACATGAACATTATGCTAAAAGCTTTCATTGTTTTTCAGAATAGCAAATGTCCAATCCGGAGAGAGGTCAGGTACAAGGGTAGGTCATTTTCTATATTGCTTCCTCAGACATAACACCTCGACATTTGACTTTCTCGGTAAAATCCTGTTTGACACGTGTTCTATACATGTAACTTAGACCTTGACATGTCTTCTGTTAATTGGAGGAGATTTATTTTTTTTTCAATAAAAACAGTATTCCAGACTTGTTGATATGCTTTTTAATGGAGATATTTTGTTTCTTTATTTAAGTGAATAAGAAAGTCATAAAGCAATAAAACAGTCGGAACTCAGACCAAATCTACCTCAATAAGAAAGACCAACAACTGCCCAGCACAAGTCTCCCTAGGTAACGTTATCATTGGAATTCAAAAGGGAATAAAGTAATTGTTTCGATTCAGAAGTAATTAGTTACTAGTACATCGATGCAATAAAATGTAGAATTGAGGATTTATTATTAATAGTTAAAATTCTTTGAAATGAAGTACTATTAGTCTAATTTTAACTTCAAATATATCGACTCGCCACTTCATAATGATAATACGATGTTTTACTATATTTGTAAGAAGAAAAGCATATCGACATAAATGACCATGCTTATTTCAAACCATTTACCGAAATAATGGGTATTTGTTTATTGTTCATTTAAGAAAGTTGTTCCCATGAATCAACATTATTTTTTCTCTCCTATTTTAGGTGACGTCCCATTCCTGTTATCCGCCGGTTGCCAAATACTGACTAGTATCTACTCCATCTATAACCACCTCCGGTGACCTTGTGTTTTCATCGATCCATCATTCAATTTAACTTGGTGCTATTTTTTAAAATTATTCTTTTATTCAGATTTTGTGTTTATATGTAAAAACCTTGCGAATGTATGTATATTTAGTCCTGATATTAAAAAAGAAAAAGCGTTTTTGAAGCTGGAATGAACACTTCTCTTCCCTCCAGAAAGATTAGATTTCCCGGAAGTTGATCAGTCATTGAGGACCCCATTGCTGTGAATTTCTTATTTGTAAGCAGAATTCTCCTTTTGTACAAAAGCAGTGGATTGTAAATTAAATTCGTTAGTAATATCTGTCACTTCCTGCTCTGATTTACCATTATCTCATCACGAACTGTTCCGACTTACACCGGAAATTAAAAACGAATAGGAAATGAAACGAGAGAAATTCAAGAAAGGGAAACATTTGAATTTAAACCATTGGTTTTTTTCAAAAGGCTTTTCCATCTACAATAGAAGCGTGAAAATAGTCTACAGAATCGAGACTCATTACCCATCCTCTGACCAAGACACTCTTACGTGAAAAAATCACCCCGCTCCAAGTTATTTCAATTTCTAATAATCAAAGATGTTTAATCTGTGCTGTCGGTGAATTGGTCAATAACCCCTCTGACTGGACTGGAGTGAACATCTTGATTTGGCTACCTGCTACATCTTGTTCTTCTCTTATCATGATTAAGCTACATCACTGTCAAAAATCTCCGTCAATCACTTGATTTATTGTCCTTCTTATCGACCAAACAGGAATAATGTTGGCATTTCGTATTTCAAAGAATGCCAACGACTTGCTACCTTGATTATAATAACAGTATTTTTTTTTCGTTGGTTAAAATTAAAAACACATTTAAAGAAATATTTTCATAATTTTGTCCTTTTTTCAACAAATAATCTGTAATAATATCGAATGCATTATAAGGTTAAAGACACTTCGTTCTTTTTTGAAAGGTCTTTGAAACTAATTTCTTATTTCAACAGATCGAAGTTCAAACACATGTAAAAAATCTACAAAATTAATATTGCAGTGGTAATTTTCAAGAAAATAAACCTCTCACCAGGGTCGTAAAACATTTCAAGCTTTAACCATATACAGTATATTCCTTTGAATTGATGTAGAGGTAACTAAGTACAAAATAAACCGTATTTCAATTAATGTTGCGTCACCTAAATCCTTTAACTGAAAATTAAGAGTTTGTTTCATTTCTTATTTTTATAAACATTTTACAGTTTTACAGAATTTTTTGAAAATCTTTTGGCCAAAAAGAAAACACTTGCTGTCGATACGATGTATCCCGGTGTGCTTTAAATTAAAGATACTACAGAATTTGACATATCTGTTTCATATTTGGATGATTTTATTAGAAATAGATCGTTAATGGTAATCTAACAACCAAGTTTTATGATAAATGTTATCAGATAAACTTTACCTTTCCAATCGTCAATTTCCCTTATGCAGCAATATGTCTTCGATTTCTCAATTGATTCAATACGCAAGCACATGCTCTACGTATGAACATTTTCTAAAAGGAGGCAGGGTATTGACTGAAAAGTTGATGAAACAAAATTATCGGTAGACTTGATTACAGTCATTATATCAAGTTCTATGGTCGATCCAATGACCTTGTCAGCAAATACGATTGATCATTGAGTCAAATGCTGACTGATATTTTTCATACTTATTGTTAGGTCATTGTTTACACACTTAATTGTCGAAAGATATTTTCCTTTATTTGGCCATCATGACGTTTGTGACCGGTCAGCAGGGGATGCTCACTCCTCCATGGCACCTGATGCCACCTTTTGATTTTTTGGATTTCAAGTTTGCTCTGCTTCAATTTGTATTGTTTAATGGACTTTTGAGCTTGAATACTGATCGTTATCTTCCTATATTTCATTGTTAACTCACGTCACATTGTTCAACATATACGTGTAATAAACTCACGCCATAGTGAAACACGCATAATTAACTCATCTTTTACTGACAAACATATGCTAACGTCATAACTTACTTAATTAATACTTGCGTCGTATTTATCAACACGTTATTCACTTCGTACTGACACATATACATGATCTCATCATCATCACGATGACATGAGGATCAGATTCCAGGTTTTAATACAAGACTTAGAAGAAATAGGAAGTCAGGAGGAGAGGAGGTGGATATACTACCTCATTTTACACAAAGGACAGGATGGAGAAAGCGGGATATTGTAAGAGAAAGACTATATATGACTATATCAACAAGAAAATATAGATCTAGAAGAAAAAAGGGGTAAAAAAAACACTACCACAAATCAAGTCAATAAGATTGCAGGAAAGGTTAGAATAGATCTACAAAGTACTGGGTAGTTAATAAGAAAGTTAAGAGATTTGCACGTCGAGACGAGAATGAGGCCATTGAAATGCTGGCAGCAGAAGAGGCAACTGCAAAGGGAAAACAGGGAAAAGATCCCATGCCTGTATCTTGAAAGTTCAAGGGGACCATAGGTTGACCTATCAAGGAAGAGCAAGGAAAACTACTGATTGCTGAGGAGCATGCAATACTCAACCGACCCTCAACGAAAGAGCGAACATTTCAGAGACCGCAGAGGATTAAGATACCTGGGTATACATATTGATCCACCAAGTAAAGTGTGACTGTCATGAAGACTCTTAAGAAACAAGACGTCACCATATCGGGACAACCTTGATGCAGAACTGTTCAAGGCGGACCCTTAGCTAGCGGTCACCATTCTTCATCTAGTGCTCACAGCTATCTGAGAACGGAGCAAAAGTGAACTGATGATAAGACCAAATGAATGATAGTCAGGTTGCCAAAGAAAGTTCGACTGTAACAACTCGAAAGGGATCGTGGCACATTATCAAGAGAATACCATGGGGTTGATTTGAACATATTTTATTTTAATTTAATTACAGAGGGATTGGGCACAAGTTCTGAAAAATTATTACGCTCTCTCAATACATGTAAATTACACATTTGAATTGTCAAAGTCAAACATGAATTTTTAAAGTATACAGTATTTGTAAAAGTTAACAAATCAATGCATTTTGCAGATATATATAAATACATATAATTTTGTACAAATGCATATGTTGGTACATGTATAATAATTAACAAGGAAATCTACTAGAATTCTTAATACGTAGATGTTTGAACAAAAGAAAAGAATATAAACGATCATTACACTACTGGACGAAAAAAGTGCTGAGAATCCCAAATTTTACTGATAAAGTTTGATAATTACTGATAATGTGCTGTTGTTGCTGATAAATACTGATATTTACTGTTATTATTACTGTTGTTGCTGATATTTTTTGTTGTTTCTGATAAATACTGATAATTACTGTTGCCTTTTACTGTTGAGTCTGATAAATACTGATAAATACTGTTGAGGTACTGTCGTTGCTGAGAATTGCTGATAATTACTGTTGAGGTACTGTCGATGCTGAGATTTACTGATAATTACTGTGGTCATTGTTTTTAACCTCGAATTGGTTTAAAATAAAACAGAGGGCTATAAAAACCTTCAATTATTACTTTCTTTTACTTGAATTATCATGGCAAAATTTTCATATTTTTTTTTAAATGTTCTGCTTGTGGCAAAATTATCTGACTGTATGTATGTATGCTGATCTCAATTTCTACATTACGTTAACTTTGTGAAAATTTTTACAATAATCAAATGAATTATTAATAGAATGAATATATAGAAATAGAATTAATAAAAAAAAAAATAACGGCAGAAAAAAAATGGAATTTTTCTTTTGCATAAGATCTTATTGAAAAATAAATTGTAAATAAAAAGAAAATTATGCTATCTTAAAAAAGATCCATCGCCGCCTTTCCCGACTTCAAGAAAATTATGTAGGGAGATCGGTGATCTTTTTTTTTTCAATAATAAGAAAAAAGTTCTTAATGGATGGGGAAAAAAATCGGGATGAAAAAAAGCTTCCTGCAGGCTAGAAAAGTTGGATTTGTTCCGTTTTCTCTAGGTCAACTGGTCGAGTTTGGACAACATTTTGTTTTTGAAGGCCTTTTTTTCTCGAAAACAATTATATTTATCTTGTTAAATGTTCAGTTTTCTGGTCTCTTTTTGTCGAAATATTTCAAAATTTGCTCGGAAATTAGAAATTTTATCCCTTTTAAAAAGTAACTAAGAGGTGAAAACAGGTTTGAATATGTTCAATCTGTGGGCACTGATTTTAGTTAATAATTTATTTATTTATTCATTTATTTTAATGTTATGTAGACGTTTGTAGATCGTCCAAGAATTAAACTCCTCCACATGTACATATGTACAAGTACACACTGTATGCATGTGCAACCGGCAAATGGGGCGAGCTGATTAAAAATTAGAGGTTAAGAGTCCCTAGTACAAAGGTACATGTGTTTAATTTGTCTTAAAATTTAAATACAAAATCATTTTTTATTTAATCAGTTTTGAAATCTCATTAATTTTTTATTTTATTTCATGGAATGGGAAATAAAAACTGAAATGAGACTTAATTTAATATGTTACTATTAGTATATGATCAAACTAATCGATTTTAATTTTGCATGGTAAAAAGTTGAAAGGAAAACACCTTGAAATTGATTTCAATTGATCAGAAATCGGTGATCGACCTGTGATTTGGCTGTATTGTGTACATGTCTTCAGCCCCGGGGTAGAACGGGGTACAACTTGTATATTCCATGCAAATTGTAGTGGTCAGCGTAACAATGGGCACTAATTACCTATTGTTCTTCGTCTGCGGCTGCCGGTGTTTTCAATAAACAAATTACCTACACTGTACATGTACTCGCTACTTTGAAACAATCTTAAAGTTTATGGTCGCACGAAAAAAAAAATCCATAATATTGAATTTGATGACGAATAAAATTGATAGAAAAAATATTTAGAATAGAACACTTTGGTACTATAATGAAAAAAAAGATATATACGTGTACATCATGTACGTTGTACAGACTTATTTTCATTATTATTTAAATTCTCAAAGATCTATCTTCTTCAGTATTTATTTTCATTTTTTAGTTTTACGCATATTTCTTCAATCAATCACTCATTTATTTGAATCTTTTTACCATATTACTTTAGTATACATAGACCACAAAAACATATAAAATGTAACTATGTGATTTTATACATAACAGTAGGTCTAAAAGGCATGCGTGAATAAGAAACTAAACAAAACTTCACTTTTTAATAAAAAAAAAGTGTGCAAAATATACAATCATATAGATATAAACTTAAGAGAAAGATTGTTTAGTGAAGCACTTTTTTGAATTGATAT